ACTACTCTCTGTCTCCTTTCTTGAAGACAATTTTGTATCCAATTGGCTAGCCCACACCTCCCCCACCGGATTCCATATTTTTAATATCCATTTATGAATATTAACTGGTCATAAACAGTACTTGTCAAAAGAGTTTCACGGCTGTCTATCTCACTCTACTGATTTTTCGTTACATGCTGAGGGTGCTACAATTCAGTGGGATGAACACGTCACTTGAAAGGAATAACAATTTTGTTACGAAGTAATTAGATACAATCTAACAGACTCCTGACTTGTTCTAAACTTTATTACATTAATACAAAGAGCTTGTTAATACCTACAAATCAATTAGGCAAGGAATCTGGGTAGACTTTGGAACTCTCATACACGTGTTTAACATTGAAAGACACCACCGAGCACATTTTGAACTCACTAAGACAAAGGGATGTCAGTCAATGTGCCCTGGTTCCTCTTCTGTCCCTGTACTAATATATTACTGATTTAACTCTAATATTGGTAAAAGACTTAGCAAAGTGGCAATATTTTTGTTATTTTTACATTTGAAGAGAAGTACAATGAAATACTGCAACCAAATAAAATCTGCTGTACTGACTTAACTCTACTGTTTCATTTTTACTTTTAATAATCTCAATTCATGACTAGAGTCTAACTCATATGGTAACAAAGAACTCAGGTAAATTATAAACAATTTTGCATTCGAAAGTAATGTTCTTTTGCTTTGCAAGTATAAACAAAATTGGACGAGAACCACATAAAAGACTAGGTCCGAATGGTGAAACTTTTACTACCTTGTTATCTGAGTTATGTCATGGCATCAGACAATGATTACTTAAAGGTTAAGGATAGAACACTGCAGATTAAGTTTTACTCTCTGTTTTAATGTGCACTCAGCATATCGTGCACCTCTAACTGAACAATTGCATTTTCTGTCTACTGTGAAAGATTTGAGCAGAAGTAAGCACAGCTAATTCCCACATGATATTGGGGGACTGAGCACGAGGAAGAAATGAAACCTGCCATCACTATGTAGTCTGGTCTGTAGGTGACTCCATTACTTCATCAATTAGTTGATTTTGTAACTGTCCTCTAAGGAGTCACACAATGCTAAGGAGGGGCAAACTTCTGACAGTTCATGAAGACAGTCTATGTACCTTATCTGAAATTAAGGATGTGCAGTAAATGCTGACCTCAACAGTGGCACCCACATCTTGTGAATTATTTTTTAATACAAAAAGAAGTGAAATGTATAGATTCAAGTCAAGGAATATCTACCATGGCATGATCAAGACATTTAATTGGCAAGTACATCATTATTTAAGTCCTACTCCAAATCTCTAGATTATGACCCTATTCTTTCATTTGTAAATTAAATAGCCCACATTTTTGGCATACTTACATAAGAAATGTTAACACTAAAATTAATTTGCCATTGTCTGCATGGTTGGAAAATTAATCAAGATGCTTCTGAAAATTTTTGCCTTGGTCTACAGCTCTTGCTATTTTAAGGTTGCCAGCAAATTTGAACAACATGGATTTGGTGTCTTAGACCTTTGATACTTGCAAAATAATAGGCTCCCATTGACAATGAAGGCACAAGGACTTTAAAGGAAAAGTTTCCTCTCATTTCTTTCTTTTCCTTTTTGAGAGGGAAACACAGTTTCTAGTGAACCCAGCTAGGGGACTTAAACACAGGATTACGTTTGACATGGACTGGTTTGAATGAAGGGTCTGTTTCCATGCTGCAGGACTCTATGACTGTGACTCACATTCATTGCTTGCCAATTCATTCTTTGATTAGGTGTGCATGGACCAGAAAATTCCCAACTCTGTGAATCTGACCTTTAAGAATCGCTGGCCGAACTTCCTATTGATTGGTTCAGTGGCGAAGGGTAGAAGCTGCCGGTATGAGATGTGTTAAGATTTGAGACAGGTGACGTAAGAGGGCTGAACAGGATCCCTGATGAAGAATACAGGATGGACAGAAAGCCTGATTCAGTGCTCTGGCAGTGTTCTCAAAAGTTCGCAAATAAAGATTAACATATAAAAGTTTCCCTCCAGCCCACATTGCCTTCAATTCCCACACTCTTCACACCTCACCCATGTTAACCTAAGCCCTTTTACTCACCCCATGGCACCTCTCACTCACCATGTGATGTAAGACCATGTACCCAACTCTTTTGGTTCTCCCACACCCTACACGCTAACATAGGACCTCGCATGCACTCCCATCACCACAGTCACTTTGCCAAGATTTAGTATGTACCCACCCACACCCTCCTTGTCACTGTACACAAACCCATGGTCCTTACTTCCTATATGACACCGGATGCCCTTGTATGCACCCCTCATGGCCCCCACACCTCCATGTCAATTTATGGCTTGTACCCATCCTGTAGCCCTTTATAGCTCCTATACCAACTTATCATACCAACAATCCACACCGTGCCTTTTCATCTACCTTGCCAATTTTCATAATAACCATTGTGGGAAGACCTTAGCGATCATGCTCAGATGAGGAAAAAAGGAAGTTCCCTTAAATAAAGTGTGTTGCACACTCCATTATGTTTTTAAAAAGCTAATCCATAATAACACACACATTACATGTGCTACGCGGGCAGAACGGTGGCTCAATCTTGGTAGTAAGGTGACTCAATGGTGAGCACTGCTGCCTCACAGCACCAGGGACACGAGTTCGATTCTAGCCTTGGGTAACTATCTGTGTGGAGTTTGCACACTCCTCTGTGTCTGCAGGAGTTTCTGCCAGGTGCTCCGGTTTCTTCCCACATTCCGAGGATGTGCAGGTTAGGTGGATTAGCCATACTAAATTGCCCCTGGTGTCCGGGGATATGCAGGTTAGGTGGGTCAGCTATGGTAAATACCGTGTTACAGGTACAGGGTAGGGACTGGGTATGGGCAGGATGCTCTTCAGAGGATTGGTGCAGACTCGATGGGTCGAATGGCCTCTTTCTGCACTGTAGGGATGCTATGAATCTACATTTAGATTCCTTCACCACATTAAAGCTTTATAATAACAACCATATAGTTCAAGTGCAACAAGCACTGGAATTCATAAAGTTCAAAGAGCCAAAGAGTCTAAAACTACTTGTAGCTGTTGGAAAACTGTGAGGGATCTATCTGAATTCAGCCATGCTGCACAAATTCAGTAACGGAAATGGCTTGTGTTGACAGACAGTGAAATTGAAAACAAGTTCTTTTTCGAATTGAAGTTTTGAAGGTTTGAAGGTTTAAATAGCCCAACAATCTTGACATGTCTCTTTGATAGCCCCAAGGAGTTTATGAAATTGTTACTCACAAGCATGTCTACTTTTGAAAAGCCACAAGGGTACCTCACCCCCTGCTAAAGGTGCCTGGGGTTACATCCAGAGGTGTGCCTTACTTCTCCAAAAGGGTAGCCTAGCTATCCAAACAAATCCACAAGCTTCTGACCTGCTCTAGCTTGGTTCAATCTGAACGTACCAGGTTTCAGACACCTACCTCACCAAAGTCATGCAGGAAAGGAGGCAGGTGATCATTTAAATGACTGGTTGCCCCAGTAAATTGTGCATGTGCAAATCTTGAATTGACTCCATTCCTGGTGCACAAAATTAGGCAGTGCCAAATTTCAGAGCACGACTTGCACATCTGGGGCATTTCACTGTGATGGAAATGCTCTCCATTTTGGGTAGAATCTGGGACTCAGTCACTCATTGACACATGCTCTCAAGGCAACATCTATATTTCTGCATTAGTGAATATATTATTATTTTGAAATCCTGATCTGTTTGAGTGATAAAGATACTAGACAAATGACATTGTGATGAAACTTCAATCATAATGATGACTGAAGGAACCAGAATTTTAGTTTGATCCCTGGTGAAGTTCCTCAGTTGAATTTTCAGATTTCAGTTTTCTGGCATTGACAGCTCAATGCTGGAGCCAGGATCAGAGCCACTGTAGTTTTTGTACTGGTCAGCTTTGTTTGAAGCAGTCTGAGGTTTAAATAACTTCTTTGGAAATTGTGAAATCTGATAACATTTAAGCCAACGTTGTTAACAGGCTGTTGGTCAAACCACTTGCTTCCTTGTCATTATTGCTAGCCAAGAAAGACTAAGCAACTGGACAAAACATGAAGCTCTTTTAAGAGCAATGTCAGAGTTTCTTTGTATGGAAATCAGGTGCTATTCTTCCTGGCCAGGCCAGGCAAAAAGAGCAACTCCCTTTTTCAAAATTTCCACTGAGTAGCTAGAAGTACTGATAAACACAGAAAAACCATTCTGATGTGGAAATAAACAGGGAACAGTTCACTTCCCAAAAAGAGATAAACAGAACTGAAAACCTGCCTTAAAGTGGAATGTTAACAGAAGGAAATGAAGGATGGTCACCAGATGCCAGAGTACGAGCTTCTGTCAGGACCGATAATCTTTTTTTATGTTGGTTTACTTTCAACTGCACCCTTTTCCCTCTATCCAAGCACAACCACAACTCCCAACAACATATGGAGTTGAACAGATGTGAAAGAATGCTGGCAGTCAAGATTCTAGGCAAATATAAGATGCAACAACATTCTGCCTTCTTATTATGAAATTTGTAAATCAACTGAATAACTAAATGATTTGCACTTAGAAGTGTTAATTCATTAAAACAATTCAAGTTTAGTATGTTTGGCATAGTACCTGTATCAAAATTCCATCTTTCAGCTTTACTGCAGCACTATCTGAAGCACATGAAACAGTTTCCAAACTCAGTAACTTTTAATTATATACAGATGTCATACAACCTTTGAATTCTGCATCTCTCTGCAAGCACTTCAAATTTAATTCCATTTCTTTGCCCAACCCCTTACCTTACTTGTATTTTCACAGCATGTTTATGTCCCTTTCCAGAATGAAAAATCTGCCTATGAAGAACATACTTCCGTTATGGCCCCTTCAGAAAATTTCATATATCGTGAACAGGGATAATGTTTGGCAATTTAAAATTCACTAAAGGGGGATTCTTACCTGTTGTTAAAATTAGTGCAGTACTTGAGACCTTGACAACCCAGCTGACATGGTTCTCTGACATCAGCCAAGCACGTGAACATTGCAGCTTCCAGAGGATTATATTCACAGACCCTATCAAATTCTTGCCAGTGAGTTGTGCCTCTCCACCTGCTGCTGTATAACTTAATACACAGGTCCCTGTCAAAATAAGATTATCAATTAAAAATAGAAGCGGCCTCAAAATGAATGTTTTTGTTTGTACAAAGTGCTGAAGAAACTCGGCACATCCAGCAGCATCTGTGGAGAGAGAAATAAATTAAACATTTCAAATCTAAGATGACTTTTCTTCAGAATTTAGCTTAACAATATCATTAAGGTTGCTGATTTGCACCTCTAAGATTGCCTAACGCCACTGTTGCTTCAAATTGTGCTTGTAATTAAAACCATCATCTGCATATTTGTTACCTCTAGACTTTATTATTCCAATGCCAGCCTCCCATGTTCTGGCATCCATAAAGTCAAGGCACTGCTGAACTCATACCGTGGTCAGTGCGACAGAGAGGTCACTCCAACAGAAATTATCTTCAACAATTTTTCTGATGGTTTTCTCTTTTAGTTTTACTTCTACAAGACTCAGCAGCAGTAGCAATGATGCCAAATGAATTCAGTACTGGACAGAACCTCTAACAAAATCTCTAACAACAAAAACATCATCTGAAAAGCCATTCTTGTGACATCACAATCAGGGAAAGAACTTATCGGGGAGGAGCTGGACAGTGTTTTTGGTTCATAGCCCAGAAAGTAAAAGCACAGCATTTCAGCCCTGTGGAATAAGTGTGAATGGCAGTACAGTTCCAAGTCAGGATCCTGAGAGATTTGGAGGGGATCTTGTAGGACCAGGTGATGTTCTCATGTATCTACTGTCCTTGTCCTTCTAAGTGGTAGAAGTTGTATGTTTTGAAAGTGCTGTTTCAGGACTATTGATGAGTTGTTGAAATGCAGTGACCACGAAGTCCAGGACTAAGAAACACAATAATATTTCTCTCCAAAACTACAATGATTACAAACAGAAAGGGAAAGGTTAAAATTCCAGCCGTCTCCCATAACACTACTCGGAATACATTCATTATCCTAAAGCCTGTAATAAAATCTTAACATCCTCACAGTTTTCTACCATGTCAATCTGAAAAGGTGAAGGTCAATAATAACAAGAGACCTATCACATAGCTAGAGCTTACAAAGGGTCTGAGTTGGAACTATGCTAACTTTGCAACCAAAGTGGGCTTGAAGGAATCTAGCAATAATTATATAGTTCCACTGTTGTGAAATACAGAACTCCCAAACTAAAAGTCTGCGTGAGGCCACCCACAAAAAATATGAGTGACTGAATTTAGATTTGCTGAGGGAATTCTTCATAATCTCATGAAGCAAAAAGTTCCAAGATGCAGCTGACATCCAAGCTGTATCAAAATGGCAAACAAAAGTAAAGATTTCTGGTAAAGTTCAGCAGGTCTGGCATCTTCTATCAAGAGAAATCAGGGTTAATGCTTCAGATCCAGTGACCTTTCCTCAGAAGATCTCAACTTGAGCTGCTGAGATCTGCTGGGCTTTTCCAGCAATCTCTATTTCTGTTTCTGATTTACAGCATCCACAGTTCTTTCGGTTTTAATTTTGTATCTAAATGGCATTAATCAATACACTATACATGCCAGTCTTCAATCAATTCAAATCATTCCACATGATATCAAGAAACAGGTGGAGGCACTGGACATAGCAAAGGCTATGCACCCCGACAACATTCTGGCACAGTACCGAAGACTTGTGTTCCATGACTTGCTGTAGCCATAGCCAAGCTGCTGCAGTACAGCTACTATACTGGCATCTACCTAACAATGTGGAAAATTGCCCAAGTAGGTCCTGTGTACAAAAAGCAGGACAAATCCAGCCTGGCCCTTATGCCCTCAGTCTACTCTTGATCATCAGCAAAGTAGTGGAAGGTGTCATCAGCAGTTCTTCTGAAGCAAAGCTTGCTTGGCTATGGTCTGCTCAGTTCGGGTTCTGCCAGGGTCACTCAGCTCCTGACCTCATTACAGCCTTGGTCCAAAAATGGACAAAAGTGTTCAATTCAACAGGTGAAGTGAGTGCGACTGTCCTGGATATGAATGCTGTATGTGACTGAATCTGACATCAAGGAGTCCTTGCAAAACTGGAGTCAATAGAATTCAAGGGGAAAGACTTCCCTGGTTGGAGACATTCCTGGCACACAAGAAGATGGTCATAGTTTTCATTTTGACTTCATTGAATCCTACAGTGTGGAAACAGGCCATTTGAACCAACAAGTCTGCACCACTTCTCCAAACAGCATCTCACCCAGACTCACCCCCTACCCCATCCCTGTAACCCTACCTAACCTACACATGCCTGGACATTATGGGCAAATTAGCTTGGTCAATCCACCTAACCTGCACACCTTTGGACTGTGGGAGGAAATGGGAGCACCCGGAGGAAACCCACACAGACACAGGGAAAATGTGCAAACTCCACACAGCCTAAGGCTGCAATTGAACCTGGGTCCCTGGCGCTGTGAGGCAGCAGTGCTAACCACCATGCTACCCATGGATATCAGTCATCTTAGCTTCAGGATATCTCCACAGGCTTTGCTCAAGGTAGTGTCCTTGGACCAACCATCTTCAGATGCTTCATCAAGGACATTTCTCCTGCCATAAGAGCAGAAATGGGGATGTTCGCTGATGATTGCACAATGTTCAGCACCATCTGCAAATCCTCAGATACCGAAGCAGTCCACGTCCAAATGCAGCCAGACCTGAATAATACCTAGGTATGGACTGAAAAGTGGCAAGTAACATTTATCCATGCATACCAGACAATGATCATCAACAAGAGAGAATCTAACCATCATTCCATGACATTCAGTACCATTATCACCACTGAATTCCCCATCATTAACATGCTGGGTGTTATAATTGACCAGTAACTGAACTGGACTAGCCATATAAATACTGTGGCTACAAACGCAGGTCAGACTCTAGGAATACTGCAGCATGTAACTCACCTCCTGAATCTCTAAAGCCGGTCCACCATCTACGACACACAAGTCAGATATGTGATGTAACATTCCCCACTTGCCTGGATGAGTACAGCTCCAACAACACATGATTTGACACCATCTAAGACAAAGCAGCCCGCTTGATTGGCAACATTCACTCCACCCAGTACCAATGCTCAGTAACATGAATATTTGTCAATTACAGGACACACTGTAGAAATTCACCAAGGATCCTTAGACAGCACCTTTCAAATCCATAGCCACTACCATTAATAGTCGTCACAACATAATAGAATTTAATATTCAGTTCGCAAGTGAGAAACTTGGACAGGGAACAATTGTGTTTAACTTAAACAGAGGGAGTTACAATGAAATGAGGATAGAATTAGCTAAAGTGAACTAGTTGGATAGATTATCAGGAATGACAGTAAGCAAGCATTGGCAGACATTTAAAGTGGTAATTCGTGTTGCTCAGCTAAAATACATCCCAGTATGGAAGAAAGATTCTAAAAGAGGGACAGACCAACCACAGCTAACCAAGGTCGTTAAGCAGAATAACCAAGTTGGAAGAAAAAGCATAAAAGGAGGCCAAGGTCAGTGATAGCCCCAAAGACTGGGATAAATACAGAATCCAGCAAAGGAGGACTAAAAAAGATAATAAAGAGAGAGAAATTAAACTACAAGGGCAAACTAGTGAGGAATATAAAATCTGACAATAACAGCTTTTTTAAAATATATGAAAAGAAGATAGTCAAAATGGACATAGGCCCCTGAGAAAATTAATCTAGGGAAATGGTTGTGGGGAGCAAGGAAATAGCAGAGGACCTAAACAAATATTTTGCATTAATCTTTATGGTGGAAGATACTTTGACATTCCATTAATACTAAGTAATACAGGAGAGGAATTAAGTAGCATCATTGTCAAGAAAGTAGTAATATTAGCCAAACTAATGGGGCTAAAGGCAGATGATAGCTTGCCCTCAGATCCAAGAAGCCCTGACAGCTTGCATCCTAGGATCCAAGAAGAGGTAGCTTCAGAGATCATGGATGCATTAGTTGCATTTTTCCAAAAATCATTGAATTCTGGAGAAGTACCACAAGATAGGGAAAACTGCTAGTGTGACACCTCTGTTGAAAAAGGGAGGGAGATAAAAAGTGGATGACTTTAGGTCTGTTAGCCTAACATCTATTGTTGGAAAGGTATCAGAATCAATTATTAGAGAAGCAATAGCAGAACATTTGGAAAATCATGATTTAATCAGGCAGAATCAGCATAGCTTCAAGAAAGGTAAATTGTTTCTGACTAATTTATGAGAGATTTTCAAGGAAGTCTCAACCAGAGTAGATAGAGGGGAACCAGTAGATGTGTTGCATAGATATATTATAGAGTCATAGAGTCACACAATAACGCTTATTCCAGAAGGCATTTGACAAGGTACCTCACGAAAGGTTAAGCCGTAACAGCCTATGGTGTTGCAGGTAACATATTGGCATGGATACAGAATTGGCTCATAGGCGGAAACAGTGAGTGGGGGTTAGAGATAATTTTTCAGGTTGACAACCTGTGACCAATGGGGTTCCACAAGGATCAGTGTTGGGATCACAACTGTTTACAATATAATGACTTAAAGGAAGGAAGTGAATGTACTGTAGCCAAATTTGTAGACGACATAAAAATAGGTGGAAAGGCATTTTGCAAGAGACAGAGAGATACTCACAGATTAAGTAGGTAGGCAAATCTTGGCCAATGGAGAATAATGTGGGATAATGTGAAGTTGTTCATTTTGGAAGGGAGACCAAAAGAACAGGTTATCATTTAAATGGAGAGAAACTTAAAAAGCTGCAACACAAAGGGACTTGGAGTACTTCTGCAGAAAACATGGAAAGCTAGCACAAAAGTGCAACAGGTAATCACGAAGGTTAATGGAATGTTGGCTCTTATTTCAAGAGGGTTGCAGTATATAGTGGAGGGATGTCTTACTGCGACTGAGACCACATCTGGAGTACTGAGAGCAGATTTGGGTCCCCTTATTTAGAGAAAGATATCATTTCATAGGAGACAGTCAGAAAAGATTCACCAGGATGATCTCTAGTATGGAGGGATTCTGCTTGCTGGAGTTTAGAAGAATGAGAGATGATCTCATTGAAACATAGGAATCTTAAAGGGTTTGATAGGGTAAGAAACACAACATTGCCTGCTCAAGGGGGATGATGGGCAAAAATACTGGCCTAGCTAGCTCACCTCCCATGAACAAATACAAACAAATCAGGAGTGAGGCCTCCTCAAATAACTTTTTCTATGGTTCCTGAAAGAATGCATCCAGGATAGTAAAACTAATTGTTGAAAACTGTCAGAATTATTGATAATTGGATTACTGCCATTAGTGAAAGCATTTGAAGACTCTATGATGCAGAACATGTTAAATGTTCTTCTCTTGAATGTTGGAATGTTGAAGTACATAAGAGAAAAGTACAAACGTTTAGTTACTGTACCAACCTGCAGATAGAAGTGTTTGCTTTGGAACAACAGTGCAACTTAGCACCATCAACAGCTGTAGCAGGCAACCCATTTGTACTATTATCTGGGTTACTCGATCCAGAGCTTTCTAGAAAACACTGCCAGAGTGGATCCTGAGGCAGAGGCATTTTCTTACACCCTTCAATAAGTCCGTCAACAATTTCTTGATCTGTTGATTTTGTCATCAGCACTCTTTGACAAGTTGTCTGACAAGCTGGATCTTCTGCTCTGTCACAGCAATATAAACCTAAATAGTTAGAAATTCATTACTACCATTTAGCTTTACTGAACTCTTTATTAGGTTAGCTATTTGTCACATTTCTGAACCAACAAATATAAAATTGCATTCACACAGCAAGTACCAGCGGTTCACACCTTATATGGAAGATCCTGGATAAGTGGAACATTGCTCTCAAAAATCTATGCAATAATTTTGGGTTTTGAAGATTGCTATAGGGCTTTGCAGCACAGCGAATGCAGCTGAGCTTCACAAATGGCTACATCCACAACATGCACACTTGGTTTCAAAGGGTTTTCTTTCCCAAGTTCAGAAACCCCGGAGAACACAAAGATAAGTCAAGCAGCAGCAGTACATGATGCCAAGCTCTTTCCATATACACACCACCCTCTGTTGGTCCTCAAGTCCCTTTTAAATCTTTCCCGTCTCACCTTCAATCTATGCTCTCTAGTTTTAGGAGAACAATAGTTAGATCTAGTTTTAAAAAAAAGGAGGGATCTTAATATGTCTTCGTTTTAAATTACTCTTTGGTTTAATTTTTGTTCTCAACCATCCCGCAAGCAGTGCCCTGATGTTGCCACCAAGTAACTTGTTAAGATATTTCAAAGAACGAAGAGTCAACTAAATACTTTTTTTTCCTCGAACGACATGATTGAACCAGTTGAGTTTTCATGTGACTTGGACAGCATTCATGGTAATTTTTCCAGTCCTAACACACAAGTTACCAGGCCACATGTGCATTACTGCATATAATGCTGATCTCCTTACTTAAGGAAGAATGCAAATGAATAGAAAACAGTTCAGAAAAAGTTTACTAAACTTAAACCTGGAATGGACAGGATGGCTTAGGAGGAAAGGTTGTGACGGCAAAATTTGTATCCACTGGTATGTTCAGTAGAGTAAGCGGTGACTTGGTTAAAACTCTTCCTAAACAAAAAGGTGGCAGAAGTAAAGTATTTCTAATACAGAGGTTGGTAAGTTTTTATAATCATGGGAGTGAAAAGTGGCCAGGGGTAATCACGAGTGTGAATTTGAGGTTATCAGATCTACCATGACCTCATTAATTGGTGGAGCAGGCTTGACAGGCTGATCCTACTCCTGATCCTTGTTCATATGCATCTAATGAGGTCTGCTACAAGGAAAGTGAGTCACAGAAATCTACCGTCCTAAAATGCATGACATTGTAAGACAAGGAGTTAAGGACAACCACAGGCTGAAACACAGGCAAGGGAGGAAATCAGCAGTACAGAAGAGAAAACCAATTGATAATCATCCAGAGATAGTGGGAACTGCCGATGCTGAAGAATCTGAGATAACAAGGTGTGGAGCTGGATGAACCTAGCAGACCAAGCAGCATCAGAGGAGCAGGAAAGCTGATGTTTCGGTCTGGACCGTTCTTCAGAGAGGGACCCATTCTGGACCCTTTTTCTGAAAAAGGGTCCAGGCCCGAAACGTCAGCATTCCTGCTCCTCTGATGCTGCTAGGCCTGCTGTGTTCATCCAGCTCCACACCTTGTTATCTCTAATAATCATCCATACACTATTTCAATCATAATTGCACAAATTAAGGTCTTCCAAAACTCATCTCATCAATGCTTAAAAAAAAAATTCAAAGATTATACCTGATTACAGGCACCTCTGCAAACTGGGTAACATATTAACGAGGACATTGATTTTCTTTGCCTGATCATTTATATCCATCTTAATACATAGGTAAGGAATTGCTTTGAGGTCTCATCCAAAAATAAAGTCTAATAATGTAGCAATCCCTCAGCATTTACTAGCATAGAAAATGCACTTAAATTGCCCCATGAGGCTTGCATTCTGAGTCTTCTGATACAGGTCCAAATACCACCACTGTGTCACCCTCAAACTCAGTAAGTGTTTCCTCCAAAAAGTACTTTTGTTTTCTTTGGGTAACCAATACTATGTTTGAAAATAGGGTAACAAAGTGTAAATACTCTCAGCAGTTCTAATACTGTTAGAGCTCCTGCTGATTTTTCATAACTTTTATTTTATTCCTTTATCAAATTTGGTTAGGAGCTGTGAACTAGGAACTGTGAGCTAGACATTACTTTTGTACTGTGGTTAACAGCTTGTGTTAAAAGGAAAACAAACCAAACAATTTTTTATTTATTCATGAGGCCAGGCCTGGAAGTTGATTGCAGTTTGATTCCTAATCAAAAGGTTCTGCAGGCATTTTGTCATCACGGAAGAACATTATGTTTAAACAGATAGCAGATGCTGGTTCTTAATGAGGTCAGGACCTGAGAATTGGTTCCAGCAAGTCTGGAAAGAATCTTATGCTCAAGCAGATGGCCAGTGTTGAATGATAAGCAGGACCTTGTGGAGCAAACTGTCAGCCTGTCAGGGAGTGGTCAGAGTTTGAATTGGGTTTTGGAATGTGTTTTCTACGACAAGGAATCTGGCTGTTGGTGTTACCACATGAAGATTTAAAAGCTCCCTGCCTAACCTCCCATGATCAGTTCTTAGTAGCTCAGGAATATAAAATTAAGTATTATTGCCTTTATCTTTGTGAACTATAAAAGGTAACCCTAATGGACATCTACAGAAAATTACCCAAGAAACTATCATCTATGCCAGTGAAACATCACATCATGAAAACCACTTAAGTAATCTGGCCAGTTTTGTTATTTTCTTTTATTTTTCCCATAACTGTTTGTTTGTCTCTCTTTTGTGTGAATGGGGCTGAAAACCAAGGTTTTTGGTTTATAGCATAAACTACTTAGATTACTTTGTTGTTTAATTTTGTTTAAGCTACAAACTGGTGTTCAGAATTTATCATTCGCAAAGTCTGGCATTGGTCATTCAGGGAGAGGCTGGCACTTTTTTTTCTGGAGCATTGAAGGCTGAGGGGTGACATTATAGAGGTTTATGAAATCATGAGGGTATGGATAGGATGAATAGTCAAGGTCTTTTCTCACGGTAGGGAAGTCCAAAGCTAGAGGACATAGGTTTAAGTTGAGAGGGGAAAGATTTAAAAAGGACCTGAGGTGTGGCTTCTTCATGCAGAGGGTAGTGCGTGTATGGAATGAGCTGCCAAAGGAAGTGGTGAAGACTGGTACAATCACAACATTTAAAAGGCATCTGGATGGGTATATGAACTGGAATGGTTTAGAAGGATATGGGCCAAATGCTGGCAAACTGGACTAGGTCAGATTGGGATGTCTGGTCGATGTGGATGAGTTGGACCGAAGTGTCTGTTTCTGTGCTGTATGATTCTATGACTTTAAGTCTGGTTAGGAACTACTGGGATCAATTTTGAAGGTCTTTAAGGTTTTAATTTTACTGTGTTGCAATTACAGAAGCAGAAAGGTTGTTTTGGTTCAGCTGTCCAACCCCCCTTCATAATAATAGGAAAAAAATAAAGCAAAAACCCATAAACAAAGAAATAAACAGTGAGAAGTTTGTTGGTGTTCTTAAGGATAAATTCTGGCCGGGACATAGTGTGAACACTGGCATTTGTCTCTTGATGGTGTCACAGGATCGCTTATATCAACCCAAGTGTGCTCTTGGGGCCTTCATTTAACATCGAAGCACTAGCACTTCTACAAGTGCAGTGTTAATAAGATTATACGTACATTTGTGAAGTAAGATTTAAAACTAAAACATGTAGACTTAGACTACCATTGATTCAAAGCTTGCAGCCCTGATGGATGTACTTATTTCTGAGCTGATCAATGACATAGGCTGGCTGGTCAGTTGTCAACAGTTTGGAGTCTGTGGCCCAAATGCCGAAGTGAATTCTCCTTCACTTTGTACTAATTTGATTGCTTGGACTTCACTGTAAAATAATCTATTGGGTACAGAAGTGTTTTGCATAGCAAGGTGCTAACTAAATCAAGGTTCCTTTCTCATCCGTCAAAATTAGCTGCTAATTTGAAGCCAACTTGATGCCCTAAGAGATTCTATTACTTCTTACCTTCTCCAAGGGGTGTAATTGCTGACTAGTCATTAAGCAATTGAAAAAAGCAGATGAGGGCTCCTCTCAGCAAAAAGCACGTTCTCTCAAATATATCAAACAACCAGAATAACTCAACATGAAATGTCAACGTACATTGCCATTATCATCAGGATCATAGAACAGACATATAAAATGGCGCATCAAGTAATAGTTCCACTGGTCAGAAATCCAGAGCTTCAACAGGAACTCCTTGTTCCTATTGAATTAAAATCAAGATAAGCACCAGATACCTGATAAATGAATGCTTTACTTTATCAAGCCTCCAGTACACACCTTTCACGAATGTCAGTTTGCTGATCAAAATTGTGACAGACATTAGTTTTCCCTTGCGGCCAGCAATGCTAACTGGCTGGCATCCAGTTCCAAAGCAGCATTTCTTTCAGGATGTTGAACAACAGGTGGGAGTAGGTTCAAAGCCAATTCTTCGAAATGTTTCCCTTTTTCACCATTATTCCACTTAACTGCTTGGTCCTGAATCTGATACAATACTAGACTAAAGGAAGCCATTCTCTTACAGACAAGAAGTTCAAACAATGAGGGACAACACTGCTCTGAACATGTTTGATAAGCTCAAGTTTATCTTCCATTACATAAGCTGCAAAAGACTTTGCAACCCGCTAGGAAAAGAAAACTAGCTACCTTGAACATTGTTAAAACACTAAACACTTGAAGGCTTCATTCCTTAGGCCGAACAATTCAGTTCAGCAAGGAGGACAGTGATGGGAAAGTGTGCTTTGATGTACTGTATCAATTGGACAGCAGTTTTAGGTAAGCTGAAACTTAGGTGCTAAAAAATGGGAACCTAGGCAGACCAGCAATGTAATATTTGAGACTAGAGGCAGCAAAGGCATGGATGAGGGCAAAGTATGGAAAACAAAAGCTTGTAGTTTGGGGTTGCTTATTAACATTGATAGAAAACTGTCTGGATAACAGGAAACAGACAGTAGGTATAAATAAGTCTTTTTCAGGTGGATAAGATATAGAGTGATGTGCCGCAGGGATTAGTTCTGGGACCTCAACTATTTATAATTTATGTAAATGAACTGTAGGTTTCGGAAGGTAAGGTTACCAAATTTGCTGATGTCACACAGATAGGTAGGAAATTAAGTTGTGAAGAGGGTACAAGGAGCTTAGAAAAAGATTTTGATAGGTTAAGTGAGTCAGCAAAGAGCTGTAAAATGGAGCATAATGTGAGAAAATGTGCAATTGTTACATTTCCACAGGAAGAATAAAAAAGCAGCACATTATTGACGAGGTCTCTCATGGCAAGCTTATACAGAAGATGAAGTCACATAGGATCTGCGGTGAACTAATAAGATGGGTAAAAAACTGGTTTGGTCACAGAAGAGTCAGTAACAGTGGAAGGGTGTTTTTCTGACTGGAGATCTGTGACTAGTGGTGTTCCTCAGGGATCAGTACTGGGACCCCTGATGTTTGTAATACCTATAAATGATTTGGAGGGGAATCTAGGTGGTCTGATTAGTAAGTATGCAGATGATATAAAGGTTGGGGCAACTGCAGATAGTGAGGAGGATTGCCAGAGGATACAGTAGGATATTGATAGGCTGAAGACTTTGGGGGAGAAATGGCAGATGGAATTTAAAATGGTCAAATGTGAGGTAATGCATTTTAGAAGGTCTAATGCAGGAGGCAAGTACACAGTAAACAGCAGAAACCTTAGTGGGATCAACATACAGAGGAATCTAGGCATACAGGTCCACAGTTTCTTGAATGTGGCAACACAAGTGAATAATGTAATCAAGAAGGCATATGGAATACTTGCCTTCATCAGTCACAGCAGAAGAGTATAAAAATCAGCAAGTCATATTGCAGCTGTATAGAACTTTATGTTGCCTGGCTTGGAGGGTATTAGCTCTAGGAAAGATTGGATAAACTTGGTTTGTTTTCACTTGAACGTCGGACACTGAGGAGGCGACCTGATAGAGGTTTATAAAATTATGGGAGGCATAGACAGTCAGAGTCTTTTTCCCAGGGTAGAAATGTAGGTTACTAGGAGCCATAGGTTTAAGGTAAAAGGGTGAAAGTTTAAATGAGATGTGAGAGCCAATTTTATTTTTTACACAGAGGGTGGTGAGTGTCTGGAATGTGCTGACAGAGGTGATGTTATAAGTAAATACAATAGCAATGTTTAAGAGGCATCTTGACACATACATGAATAAGCAGGGAATAGTGAGATAGAGACCATGTAGAGGCAAAAGGTTTCTAGTTTAGAAAGACGTCATGTGTCAGCGCAGCTTGGTGAGCCGAACAGCCTACTTCAGTGCTGTACTGCTCTATGTTCTTTATTAACCAAATGGCGAGAGATTGCAGAGCTCTGAGATTCAGCATGATCTGGGTGTCATAGTGCATGAATCATAAAAGGGTGTTACACAGGTACAGCAAGTAATTAGGAAAGCTATTGGAATGTTAAAATTGTGAAGGAAACTGAATACAAAAGGAGAGGGGTTGCGCTTCAGTAGTTTAAGTCATGGGTGAGACCATATCTGGAATGCTGTGTACAATATTGGTCACTTTATTTAAGAATGCAAATATATTTAAAGTAGTTCAAAGGAGATTTAGCAGACTAATATTTGAAACGAAATGGTTGTCTTATGACGAAAGGTTGAACAGGGTAAGCTTATATCTGCTTGTGTTGAAAAGAATAAGCTGCAATTTGATCAAAATGTAAATATCCTGAGGGTTTGATAGGTTGGATGTAAACAGAACATTCTCTCTTATTACAGAAACAAGTACCAGGGATCACTTTAAAAATTAAGGAGTTACCTATTAAAAAAAGGTGAAGTAATTTTTTTTTCTCAGAGGGTTGAGTGTTTTTGGAACTCTCTTCATGAGAAGATCATGAAAGCAAAGTCCTTGAATATTTTTAATGCAGAGGTAGATTAGGTTATTGTTAAGTAAGGGGTGAAAGGTCATTGGGGCAGGCAGGAATGTGGATTTGAGGTTACAATAAGATCAGCCATGATCATATTAAATGACAAAACAGGCGCGAGGGGCTGAATGGCCTACTCCTGAGACCAAGAGAGGAGATGCAAAAGATCTCAGGCATGGATAAGGCTTCAGGGTCATGATAGGAGCCAATGGGCCGTTGAGAAAGGGCGACAGAGGAAGCAGCAAACGCTGCTGAATGGAAAGTTCATGTTGGCAACAAAGACATGCATGCTCTCTACAAGACTAAAGACAATTATAAGCAGTATTAGAAGGCATCTGCTCTAACAACTACTGAAATAGTTTAAAAGATTAATACTCACTATCAATGGGATTTTTCATTGGATATGAGCGAGTATAGTTGTCAACACATTGAATAAGTTGTGGGCTGATGGAGGCACAATAGTTTTCTACAGCTTTAATCTGCGACTGTGTGGGAGAAGAATCTGTACGGAAAATAGCTTGGCAATATTCTCTACAGTTTGTGTGTCGGCCTGCATAGCTGCAACACAGGGATCCCTCTGTAATGCAATAAAAGCAAATATTAAGTTATCAGGCCAATCATCCTTATGTTCTTTATTTGCTCAATATCTTAGAACTAGGGTTACAACAAAACGAGAATACTTCAAAGTTCAGTACACTGAGCAATGTTACTCAGGAAACATAACTATGATAATAGCTTGCCCTTACCATCCATTCTTTATGCAAGATACCTGCATTACAAGAGTAATTAATTATTGCTGGCTATATCGCAGTAGATATGATGCAAGTGAATGCATGTGAGCTGGACAGGAACTTACCAAATACAGAAGAATCCAGCTAAATAAAGTAGCATAAAGCCCACTTTAACTTGACCTCCAGCACAGGTTCAGTCCATAATTCTGATATGCAGGACCATCTTACACCTTTTGAGACCTTCTCTCTGATGATTTACACAAGCACAGTCCATGACAAAATCTCAATTTTTGTATTTCTGGCTAACCTTTATGCAACGCTCCTTTTGCTTTGTAATTATGCAGTCCACATCCCATATGTTGTGTTTTGCAATCTTCAGTTGTTAATTGGGCTGAATTAATTTTCAAACCATTTTATCAACTGCAGATTTAAGGTTAATAACTTAACTAAATCACCATTTAAGCATATTCCATCTCAATACATTTAAGGAAACATTAAAATAATTCATCAGCATCATTTCCATGTTTTAGCGTAAAAATGACCTTACTCTCATTTCTGTTCACACAGCTGAAAAAAGCAGTCTGAAATACAAAAAAAATTAATGCACAAATTAGCTGCAACAGTCACAGAAATATGCCCTCTCAAAAAATACTTTATACACAAATCTGTTCCTCAAACTTATTCTATCACCTCCTTAAAATGGAAGTTAATCATGGTATTAGCAGTTATATTTTCGAATCAGCTACTGGAAGTACACAATATAGAGTAGAAAGCTTTCACTTCATCGCTTTTCTCATCTCCATTTCCCCACCACCAATAAAGGCTAATCTCAGTAATATCTTGGCACTTCAGACAAGAACTGATACTCATTCCTCACACAGATCAAATAATTAGACAAATTAACTTTTTTAGATTGACAAAAGAATATGCGATATGCATTTTACATATCAAATGTACAATAACTAGCCAGTCTTTTAACAACTACATAAAGCCAATCTCCATAACAAAACAGAGGACTACTAAATCATATTTTACACATCAAATATTCATTTCAAACTAAATTATTCAAAATAAATGTCAATGTAATGTTTGCAAAATTGGACATAATTACAAAACAAACAATATGCTTAGCTACGTAATAACCAAAAAAATGCTGTTTGAGAACATGGGATAGCATCAATAGATGTCCAGATAGTAAGAACAAAGAGAAGCAGAAATTATAGTAAGGACAGTAACTGTTTCATAAAAAGACAGGGCTGCACTAGGGGAACAAGTAGTGATAAAAGACCTCAGAGAGAGAGGGGAGATCTTGAAGTAGTCACAGCCAATACCTATAAAAAATATAACCAGTTTAAATCAGTTTAAAAATGTATATTTGCCTTATTGACAAATTAAAACTGAATACTTCAGTAGAATCAATACAAGGAAATCATTTAACCACATTTAACAAATCTTACAAAATATACAAGTTATTTTCGAAGCTAGACTATAAAAACAAATTTATATTGTTTAAAAAAGATAAACAGTAAAGAGAATTAAAAGAATTAAGATGACTGACTGAGAGGTCAAAGTTTAAATTTCACACGAGAACAATGCCACAAATCAAACTGACCCAGATATTTCATCAGGGTGGGAAATCCCATTTCAACAATGATCAGATTAAGAAGTGCCCACTTACCTTTTGATGACTTCTGTGCTGGAGATTCCTGGACAGGAGCTTCCTATTAAGGAACCATCCAAGAAACCTTGAATCCAGCAGCAGAGATCATCATCAAAAACACTCTCCCTTTTACAGCACTGAGTGTTGAATTCTGGAGCTTAAATGTCCAACATACACTTTCAAAGCCACCGTGAATTGTTAAATGAGTGGGAAAGAATAGGAGAAGAGTGCTAGGTGGCTGAGGGGCTCAGGTGCAGGGCGACCGAGATGCCAGTTAAATGGATGAGTGCTTCGGGTAGATCAGGGTATCAGATCTGACAGGTGGGCATCGGGTTGAGCATTTGATGAGAGAATACCAGCTCCAGTAGGGCTGTTGGGACCAGTGCAGCCAAGTCCTATGGGGGTTGGGAGTTAGGGCAAGTGACATAGCTATGGGTAATCCATGGTGAGTTGGGGCTCAGATTAACAGTTGCTCAAGAATTAGAGCAGGTATTTTAGTTCTTGAACTTTTCTTGGGTAACTTTGCTTCATTACTCAATTTGAAATGCATCTCAGAGAATATCGTTTGATCGCTAAGTCATCAGCAATCACTATTTAAAAATAAATTTTCCAAAGAAAAATGGGAAGTCGGTATTCTAACAGTTTGCTATTTAAGAGCATAGCTACTAAGGAAACACAACCCTCAAGCAGTTTGAGAACCTATAGTTACTTTCCTACTTTGAAGACATAACAGTCTTACTATAAGTGCATTGAATTTGATTTGAAGAAGTTGCTTTTACCATTAATTGCAGTTCTCTTAATTCATGCAATTGTTATTCCATGCATATCAAGAATAACTCAGACAATCAGCCCTTTAAGACATTTCCTGCTGGAATCATTCCATTTTTCATTTACTATATTAAAGGTTAAATCGAGGAGGTGTTCTAGGAGGAGGGGCTCTGATATTAATTTTCAAAACTTCTCTGGCCTCACAAGGGGTGCAGGAAGACAGCTAATGTGGTACTATTATTCAAGAAGAATGATAGGCATAAATCAGGAAACTGTGAATCCATCAGTGGTAGGGAAATCTAAGGGCTCAAATTAATCTCCACTTGGAGAGATATATATTAAACAAGGACAGTCAACATGGCTTTGTCAGGGGAAGATCATGTCTAACAAATTTTAATTTTGAGAGGAAGCAACAAAGTGCATAAATGAGGGTGGTGCAGTTGATGGATCACAGAACCATATAAATGATTTAGCACAGAAGGTGGGTTGGAGTTGGCGGGGGGGGGGGTGGGGGGGAGGTGGTGGTCATTCACCTATCTTGTCCATGCTGACCCGAAGACACCCAGATGCCCTTGCTAATCCCATTCTCCTCTAAACAGCCCACAGTCCTGCAGCTTACAGCATTTATGGCACAGATCCGGTACTTTTAAAGAGGTCAGGGTCTCCGTCTCCACCACCAACTCAGGCAGTGAATTCCAGACACCCACCCTCCGTGTAAAAAAACTTGTTCCTCGTGACCCCTCTAATCTTTCTGACACTTAGCTTGAATCTATGACCCCTGGTTTTTGAACTCTCTGCTAAGGGAAACAGGTTCCTCCTGCTACTCTATCTCCACCTCTCACAATTTTGTATATCTTAATCATGTCACCCCTCAGTCTTCTCAGTTCTAAGGAAAACAACCCAACCTCTTCAATCTCTCCTCGTAGCTACATTTCTCCAGCCCTGGCAACATTCTAGTAAATCTTCTCTCTCCAGAGCAAGTATGTCTTTCCTGTAATGTGGTGACCAGAACTGCATACAATACTCCAGTTGTGGCCTCACCAGTGTCTTATACAGTTTCATCATTACAGCCCAATTTTGTATTCTATACATCTGCCAATGAAGGAGAGCATTCCATATGCCTGTTTTACAACCTTATGTACCTGTACAGCTACCTTTAGGGACCAGTACACCAAGATTTCTCACTTCATCCACACTTTTCAGTATATTCCTGTTTATTATTCCCTTTCACTGTTTGACCTCCCTAAACACATTACCTCACATTTAGCAGGGTTGAATTCCATCTGCCACTTCCCTGCCCCACTTCACCAACCCATCGATACCATTTTGAAGCTTACAGCTATCCACTACACGGCCAATTTTTGCATCGTCTGCAAATTTCCCAATTGTGCTCTCCACGTTCAATTCCAAATCGTAAATGTATAAAGCAAACAGCAGGGCCCCCAACACCAAACCCTGTGGAACACCACTTGAAACAGCATTCCATTTGCAAGGGCAGCCATCAACTATTACCCTTTATTTTCTGTTACTAAACCAACTTTGGATCCAATTCAACACATTACCCTGTACCCAATGGGCTTTTACTTTTTTTGACCTGTTTGCCATGGCCTTGTCAAATGCCTTACTAAAATCCGTGTAGACAATTTTCACTGCACTATCCTCATCAATCCTTCTTGTCACTTCCTCAAAGAATTCAATCAAATTTGTAAGGAATGACCTTCCATTAAAGCCTATCCCTGACTGGTCCATGCCTTTCTAAATGACAATTTATCCGATCTCTATGGATTGATTCTAACAATTTGTACCAAAGTCAGACTAACTGACCTATAATTGTTTGGCATTTCCTTTGCACCCTTTTTAAACAACGGAACTAGATTTGCATTCCTCCAGTCCTCTGGAACCTCACCTGTGACTAGTAAAATCGGAAAATAATCCTCACAGCATCTGCTATTTCCTACCTGACCTCCTTCTAGGGAACAATCCATCCAGCCCTGGCGACTTATCTACTTTCAAGGATTTCAACTCCTCCAACACTTTCTCTCTGATTACTATGTCCAATACTTCGCATAGCTCTTCTTGGGTTACCATATCTACATCCCTCCATTCCTTTGTGAATATGAAGGCAAAAAATAATTTTAAATTCCTCCCATATCCTCTATATTCTCTTTCAAGTTCCCTTCTTCATCTCTGATAGGTCCCACTTTCCCTTTATAATCCTTTTGCTCTTTATATACTGGGAGAACATCTTGTTTGTTAATATATTTTCATGACCTCTCTGATTTTTTTCATTTCTTCCTTTTTTTTTTAAACTTGGTCCCTGTGCTTTCTCTCCTTTCATTCTGTCCTTTCTCTCCTTCATTAAGGGACTGCACAGTGGTTAGCACTGCTGCCTCACAGCGCCAGGGACCCGGGTTCGATTCCAGCCTCGAACGACTGTCTGTGTGGAGTTTGCACGTTCTCCCCGTGTCTGCGTGGGTTTCCTCCCACAGGCCGAAGATGTGCAGGTTAGGTGGATGGCTATGCTAAATTGCTGTAGTGTTCAGGGAGGTGTAGATTAGGTGGGTTATAGGGGGATGGGTCTGGGTGGGATGCTCTGAGGTTTGGTGTGGACTTGTTGGGCTGAAGGGCCTGTTTCCACACTGCAGGGATTCTACGATTGTTTCTATACTCCTCCAGGCTACCTGCAGTATTGCGTTTTTGTGGTCTACATGGATTCAGTAAGGCTCTTGACAAGGTCTTGCTTGGCAGACTGGTTAGGCAGCTAAGACCCCAAAAGTACCTGGGTAAGTTGGCAAACTGGATCCAAAATTGGCTTGGTGGCAGGAAGCAGAAGGTGGTAGTTGAAGGGTATTTTCATGACTGGAAGTCTGTGTCCAGTATCACAGGGTTCACTGTTGGGTCCCTTGTTATTTGCAGTGTACGTTAATGATCCAGACATGAATGAAGGAGAGATGATCAATAAATTTGAAAATAACAAAAAAAATTGGTACTGTGGTAAATAACAAGGAGGAAAGCCGTAGACTAGCAGATAATATAAACGGCTGGTGAGATGGGCTGAACAGCAGCGAATGGAATTTAATCCTAAAAACTGAAAGACAATTCATTTTTGGAGGACTAACATGGCAAGGGAGCAGATGTTGAATGGTGGGATGC